GCTGAACCACAGTACAGCCTTGCTCTGTGGTAATAAAGGCTTATTAAAATACCTATTGTTATGTTACAATTAAAATACAGGAGAGGGGAGTACTATACTACACTGCTTAAATTCTTTCCCTGTAAGCATCAGTCTTCCTTGCATTATTTTGCTATGAGCAATGGAGTAAACAAGTTCGAGCTGGGTTATGACTCATTGTTTTATGGGTTATGACACATTATTTTTCTATGAGCAGGGGAGTGAACAAGTCAGAGCTGGGTTATGACATCTGTGCATCCCAAATGGCAGCACACCCTTCCCGGTTTTGAATGCCACTCTTTAGCGAAGAGCACAGTTTCATCACCTGCGTTTTATACGAGAGGAAATTGAGGCAGGGTGGAGAGGTGGGACCAGCTATGGTCACCTAAGTGAAGAGTAAGATACTCATGGCATGCCCCCCTGCTCCCTGAGATCCCAGTCTCGCGCTCTCTCCCAGGGGGAGCCGTCGTGTGCACCCAGTGAAAACCCAGAAGGTGGCTTCTGTGAATCTCTGACTCCTCTGAGTCAGGAGCTCCCAGAACTTCCCAGAGACCTGAGCTCCTGAGGGCTGTACAAACAACATGCTTTGCCGAACAGCAGGGCTTAACGTTGCACAGAGCAAGTGCTTCATGAAGTACTTTTTTCCTTTCCCTTCTCTGTGTTGGGCTGCTGCTTCTGCTTTGCAGTTGCCTGGGCTGAAAAATGGGGAAGCTGCTTTACCTGGAGTTTCCTTGAAGAAGAAACTTCTTTTTGAAATACATTTAAAAGGACTGTGGTATCAAGATGATGTGCTATCTCTCATTAATATAGTTTCATTATGGACTGTTTCTCAGTAACATGATTTAATTTTTATTTATGTTGTTTTTAAACAAAAAAAATATTGTTCTTCTACTGAGTCATAGTAGTACCACACAGCACTGAAGTATGGGGAAGCAATGGAATTTGCATGTTATCTTTTTGGCCTAAAAATGCTGCTTTTTCTTTCTTGTCGATATCAGAAGTGATTGGGACATCCAAATCCAGGTTTATTCTGATCGCCAGTGACTGAACATTTAAAAGGCCTGAAAGCAAAGTGGTTAATTTATACTTTTGTTTTTAAATGTCAGGTTTCTATTTTCATTTGTGAGACTTAGAAACACAAAACACAGTTTAGTTACTGTTTCCTGGAGTTTCCTTTTCTTTCTCACTTGGTTTATTTTAATCAGGGAAGTCTCCATCACCGATTGTCACTGTGCAAGTAACTCTGGATAAAACAATGTCAGTGTATTTCTCAGCCAGCCCCTCTGGGTATAGCTGGATTTCCTGTGACGTTGCAGCAGATTTTTTTTCAGAAGTTTACAGCGGGCACATAGACTTCATGTCCTGCTTTATAACATATTGCTTTTTTCACATGTCATCTTATGATATACAGAGGTGGCAGTAGTACATCTGCTGCATGCTGTTCTCGCTCTCTGCCTCAAATCCTCTCTGAGCTGCAGTAACGCTTGCAGGGTGGGAGGTTGCTTCGGTTGCTGCGCCCCAAAATGTGGCCTTGGCTGAAACAAATGGAGATGGTTGCAGTATGTATCAATGATGGAGTAATCTTTTGTTATGTGCAAACTTACTCTTTACAACCTCAGATATGCCATTAGTTCATCCCACGCGAACTGCCAAATAGTCATTGGTAGGTACGTGTTTATCCTTGGACTAGAGGATATATAAATATTATCCTCAGAATAATAAATTTAATAGTTTTACTGCAAAAATTGAGAGCTAAAGCAACTATAAAACTCGTTGCTTTCAATCTCCTCTTTTTATTTTTTTTTTTAAGATGAAACACTACTGAAAGGTGTAGATACTGCCAAAAAAATCCGGTCTGCAAATATACCTCAAGATATGGAGAAACTCTTTTCCAAGAGTAACAGCTCCACTTAGTGGTGGATGAAAATATGTTCATCTGTTCGAACAAGTAACAAGTGATCCAATGGCTGGTTGACATTTCAGAGCACAAAACATCTGCTTGTTAAAAATCTGGGAGCTGGGGGGGCAGGAGGTTGATCCCCTTCCTCCTTAAATTGTCAACATTTACCCCTTTCAGGCTTAACATATGGTTTTCCTGGTTTTAAAGGAACACATTTATCATCAAACCTGACAAAGACAGGTCACCTTTGGGAAGCACGGGGACATTTGCAGTCCTTTGGGGGCTTTTCTTTTTTGTCCAAGTATGTTCTCTGCCCTCAGAGGCTGCAGGCTTTCCCTTCCTCTTTGGTTAGCAACACTCAGAATGCAAAATACTGAAGCCTAAAAAGTTTATGGACGTTCTTTCATTATGAAGCAATCGGAATTCTGTTAAAAACATTTCTTTTGAGCTTTTTTTTATTACTATTAAAAGTCAGTCTCCAAAATCATTTTGTAATGCTTCCGTACGGCTGGGCAAAGATGTGCCTCTGCTGGCAGATGCTACCAAATTCAAAACAAGATTATTCTGGACTTTCAGAGGAAATTTAAGTAGCGGTGAGGTGATTTGTGCAAGATAACCATGCTGTAAATGAAAATGAAGCAAGATATTTGTGGGTTTTTGGGTTTTTGTTTGTTTGTTTTGGGGGGGCGTGTCTTGTTTTGAGTTTGGAGTTTTTTGTGTTTGTTTGGCTGGTTGGTTTTTTTTAATCCTGCAAATTCATGCACTTTGTTATCCATCCATCACCTTAGTTATTGTAGGACTTTTTTTCTAACTGTATTTTTAATGTCTTAGTCACTCTGTATTTATATTCTAGTCAATGAACCTTTGTCATCTGCTGTCTGTCTAATCCATAAATAATTTGATCATAGCACAGTTTCTTAATATTTAAACGCTGATATTAATTTTCCATTAGCCTCCTCCATGTCCTTACCTTCTTCACAGCTGTGTTCTTTGTGTATTTACTGCTAACTTTCTTGTCTCTAATTTCATCTTTGTTTAACCACACTCTGTGTATTTGATTATCTGTTTTTTCTTCACGAGGCAGTTCTTGGAGTTGTCTTGTTTTTTGTGCTCTTCTGAATAATAATATCGGATGTTCAGATTGGCTCTTGCAAGTTGGAGAGCAAGAAATTCATAGCTAAGAATAAGACTTACCCATCTGTGGAGAGGTAATAGGCTTTCAAAATCTTACAGATTGGCGTTAGTTTATTTTGCCTATTCAGTTTAGAGAACAAGGACTAGTTGCTTTCCATTTAAAAATATAAGCCACTTCCTCTAGTAAGTGATTTTTCTCTCATTGCTCTTGCAGGTAATATGAACATGTGCTGCTTCCACACTTGGTTCCTTTCAGTGTCTCAGCTCCAACTTCCAGTGTTATTTTTTTCAGCATTAACTTCTGATTTCTCTTATGAATTGCTTTCTTGGGGTTTCTGGTGTACCAGTGCATAACAAAGAGCTTCTGTGTGGTGAGAGACTCTATAGGTACCAGGGAAAACTCTCACAAAGAGCATTAATGCCTCCATCAAACTTTCTGCGGGGTTTCCATGCTCTCCCATTTAAGTAAAAGAACAGTGCATGTTTCTAAATACATCTTTGTCTTTCAGCAGTAAAACAGTTTTCAAGTGAAGTGGCCTGTGCTGGGGCAATTGTTAAGCGTCCCCTCAGAGGCACCAGGAGGATGGCAGCTGATAAGTTTTAGTCAACTTGAAATAAAGACTGCACCTCTAAAAAGAGCTCAGCTGACCTGAAGTTTGGGCTATGTTTCTTGATCTCTGCAGATTGTCTAGCTAATGGAAGAAGAAAGGGACAGGAGGGAAGAGTGGAGGTTTGAATTGGTCCCAATATGTTGAAGCTTTCACTGGCTCTATGTACAAGAATTTTGCCTAACGTAAAGGTAGCTGAAGTGAGGGAAAAATGTCATTTTGCTTCCTAGCATGCTCAAAGCATGGAAAAGCACATAAGAACATCCATTGAGGATGGACATTTGCCTGTTTGCTGACAGCTTTGTAGACAGCTGCCTCCTACATTCTTAAATTAAATTGAAAAATTCTTAGGATGTTTACAGAGGGTAAAAGATTTGGTCTATGAAACAACTTTTCCAGCTTTTTGTGAAAAATGTTTTTTGAGCCCAGATTTGTATCTCTAATACCTAATAAATGGCATACTAATATATTCCAAGGTTCATTGTAGGCTTCTCCATCTTCCCTCCTGTGCCTTGTTTTTCACCTTTGTATATAGGTTATTCACAGGGCCCAGAGTTGTGGTGCGTGAGCCCTTTCCAGTAGCATCGATGTAATCAAGGCACTGGCAATCATCGCTGTATCCCTGATACTAACCATATTCCTCTTTTTATGTGGCAGGCCTATTAAAACTTGGTCTTTGTTAACAACAGTAGAGGACATTCCAGACCTACTAATTTGGCAGATGAATGGAGAAAAATGCCCCACCTGTTTTTGGAGCTTTGCTCATAGATTCATCTAGGCTGGGGCCGGAGGCAGCCTCGCCTGGCCTGTTGCCTCAAGGCAGCATCATTCCAGGCAAACACTTGCCTAAACTGTTTTAAAAACTTTAAGGTGGGGCCCCTGCAGCATCTCCAGGCAGCCTGTTCCAATGCTCCATTGTCCTTGCTGTTGGGAATTGTTCTGGCCTAGATATGTTGGTACAGTTTAAGGCTTCTATTTCTTGTCTTACCAATTACAGCTATGGAGAACAGATTCTGCTTTCCCTGTGGCTGGAGGCTCCCTCCTTTCTTCTCACCTCTGACTAATCAACCACAATAATGTGATAGTGGTTACA